GTGTGGAGAGTGTGATTTGTGTTGATTGTACAGGATCATAAGAGAATAATACCCATGTGGGTATATGGAATACGTGTCTTTTTTTTGTTTTCCGTGGAGTGTAATGATTTTTTTTTTTTTTTTTTTTTTTTTTTTTTTTTTAGATCGTCCTTGCTGGAAGGAACCATGAATTGGCGTTTTCCCTTCTTCCTCTTGACCACAGTGACTTTGTCCTCCGTGTGCTCCCAGTTCAACCCTCTGTCTTTGGAGGAACTAGGCTCTGACACAGGGATCCAGATTTTCAATCAGATCATCAAGTCTCGGCCTCATGACAACATCGTTATCTCCCCCCATGGGATTGCATCCATCCTGGGGATGCTACAGCTGGGCGCCGATGGCAGGACGAAGAAGCAGCTCACCACAGTGATGAGATACGGTGTGAACGGTGCGTGTGTGTTCTACAGCCACTGGGGTGGCCTCAACAACAGTCTTTCGTGGGGAGGGTTGTGGTGTGATCTTTGCTTACAGCTTAAGAAGAGCAATCTAGAGGGCTCATGCAATGCCATCTGGAGCTTAGAGTCAGTGACTTCTAAAGGAAGGAATGAGGTGGCTGCAGTTAGGGCTCTGGTAGCTGTTCTGTAGCTATGGTGTTTTGTGTTGCCTCTGGGCTTCAGCTCTACTGCTTTCTGTAAAGGGAAAACTTGTGTTCTAAACATCCTTATAAAACATGTCAGCAGTAGAGGTGGGCAGTACCAGGAGCCTTGTGATGATGAATCTTCCCTGTATTGATGGTGGTGGAGTCGCATGAATCTACACAAATGATAAAAGTGCACAGAGTTACTCATGTGTGTATGCACAGAAGCATGTATGAGAAATGAGCAGAATCAGAATGAGTTCTGTGGACTGTGCCAATGACCATTCCGTGGTACAGTGACCATGCTTTTGGGAAAAACTGTTTGAAGGGCATGAGGGGCATCCTTTGTTCTTTAAAAAAATTAAATTCATTCATTAATATTTGTGGGGGGATATGTGTGTGTGTGTTGGTATAGAAATGTGAGGAGGCCAGAAGTCCGCGTTGGATGGCTCTCTCAGTTGTACTCTACCTTATGTTTTCAGACAAGGTCTCACTGAATCTGGAATTCATAGATTCAGCAAGATTGGCTAGCCAGTGGGCCCCAGGGATCCATCCACCTCTACCTCCCCAGGACTAGCAGTATAAGTGTGTGCCACCATACTGGCAGTTTTTATGTATGTGCTGGGGATCTAAACTCCAGTCCTAATGCTTATGTGGCAAGCACTTTACCGACTAAGCCATCTCCCCAACTCACCTTGTCTGTTGTTTTAAAATCACTTATATTGGAGCTGGAGAGATGGATCAGTGGTTAAAAGCTCTGACTTCTCTTGCAGAGTACCCAGGCATCCAAATGGTGGCTAACAACCACATGTAACTCCAGTTCCAGGGGATCTTCTTCTAACTTCCTCCAGCATTGCATGATACAGATGCACTTACATACATGCAGGCAATACACTCATATACATAAAATAAAAATAAACTATTTTTTAAAACTACTTATAAATATGAAATGGAAAACTAAATTAAAACAATAACAACAAAACCAACTAAGGTTCAGACACTGGGCTGAGATGGGAGAATCAGAAGGATTGTTGTTTGTTTTTCATAGGCAGAGTCTCGTTGTGTTGCCCTGGCTAGCCTGGAACTTGCTAGGTAGACCAGGCTGGTCTCCAGTGCAGAGAGATTCATCTACCTCTGCCTCTTCCTCCTGAGGGCTGGGATTAAAGTCATGTGCCACCACACTCAGCCTGAGGATCAAGAGTTTGAGACAAGAGTGTCCCAAAACAATCAAAGAAGCCAGGAGATGTAGCTTGGTGGTAGAAAACTTGCCTAGAATGCACAAGACCCTGGGTTTGATTTTTTTAATATTTTATTTATTGTTTTTATTTTATGTGTATGACTGTATTGCCTGCATGCATGTAAGTGCACCAGTGTTGTGCAGTGCCCTTGGAGGGCAAAAGAAGGCACTGAATTCCCTGGAACTGGAGTCATGGATGATTGTTAGCTGCCATGTGGGTGTTGGGAATTGAACCTGAGTTCTCTGCAAGAGCAGCCAGGGCTCTTACCAACTGAGCCATTTCCCCAGCCCATGGGTTTGATCTTTAGCACCACTAAAGCACACGCACACGCACACACACACGCACAAACACAAGACAGGAAAAAAAATAAGCTTACAGCCTAATAGGGCAGAGAGGTTTAGTTTTATTGAATGAAAAACTTGTTTTGAATTACCTGTTTAACCTCAGGAACACTGTTCCCTTTAGCTTAGGAGTGCTTGCTAGATCGGCTTCTTTTGTACAAGTGTAGTGCCTTCGGAAGCAGGACCTGATTCTGAGCCCTTCTTTGCCACCAACAGGCACAATGAATGTGAGCAAGTCACATTTCACATCAAGGTGGCAGATTCCTCATTGGAAAGTGAGGGAGTTTTCTTGTCTGGTTTTCCCTCTGCTAGCCAAGAAGTTCTAGGACTCTTGATTGCATTGGCTCCTCTTGCTGCAAGGGCCTGATGAGCAGGAGGCGTGCTCACCCTTGTCTTTCTGTTCCCCCTTCCATTGTGTTTTCAGTGTGACCCCTGCCAAGGCTGAGGCACCAGATGCCATGACATCACCCTGTGGACAAGGTGGCAAAGTTTGTCTGTGTTTGCAGATGTTCACCTGTGGATATGAGGAAGGGCTGAATTCCTAGAACACACTCTTCTGTCTATACCCGGGAAGCTCAGGAGCTTTTGGTGATCAGTATTTCCTTCATGAATCACTGCTAAAATTTATGGCCTTTCCTGTTGCCTTCCAGGCCCTCTTGGCCCATATAATTCCAAAATAGCACCTGGGTTTTTGTTTGGTCATATGGCAATGCCACTCCGTACAGACTTGAAGTCAATACTACTGCAGTTTTCATGATATTGGCCTGTTGTCTACCAAAGCCATGGCCCCACTTTTCTTGCTACAGAATTGTCAGAAGTCATATGTAAAATGTGACTTCTGGGTTCATCACATACTTAGAGATCTTTGGGATCTGGAGCTCTGAGTGTTCACAGTACTGACACTCACTGAGGGAGGGGCAGGGCTGTTTGGGATTGGGGAAATTGGCTGTGATCTTTTCTCTGTAGGAGTAGATTAGTTACTGTCTCATTACTGAGACAGAATACCTGACAAGACAGAATTTATTTTGGCTCACAGTTTGAGGGTATGGTCCCTTGTGATGGCAGCAGGTGCCTGAGGCAGCTGGTCACATCATATCCCCAGACAGGAAGAAGAGAAGAAGCCTGGTACTCAGCTTACCATCTCCTTTCTATCCATTTCAGAAATCCCAGCCCATGGTATGGTGCCACCCATGTTTAGGGTGGGTTTTCATACTTCAATTAACCCAGTCTAGAAACTCCCTTACAAATGTGCCCAGAGGCTAGAGTCTCCTAAGTGATTCCAGCTCCTGCCAGGGTGACAATATTAACCACCACAGGGAGGTACTGGACTTATAGAGTAAGTAAGGCTAGAGAGTCTCATGATGGATACTTGCCTGATGGGTATCTTTTGAGCCCCACAGCCTGCCCATTCTCTTATAAAATTAGCCCCCTCACAGCACTGTATGAGGGTGGTCATGGGTGGTCTCCCAAAGCTCCATCTGTGTTGTAAAGCCCTCCCTGTGAACCCAGAGATGCCCTGGCCTTATAGGGTCTGAGGAAGATGCACATTCAGAATGACTCTAGCACTTTCAAGGTGACTCTGGCAGGCTGTTTTAGGATAGTGTCATTTTGAAAAGACCTTATAGTGATTAGAAAGGACCTGTAATTCAACTCCCTGTGAAGCCCATCTCATCCTTAAGACATTTTGTGTTTCTCATGCCTCAAAACTAAATGGAGCATGAATGAATGGCTCATGTAAAGTAAAGCCTATGTTGCCATAAAATTAATTTCTTTACTTTCTGAGCTGATATCAAGTAAAAATCATGTTGTTCTGGTTGGTAGCACGTGGTAGTTTTTAGGCCTTAGGAAAAAAAATCACATTGTTAAATCCTTCACAAGAAAGGGACTAGTGCTTAAGACTGTTAGGCAGAAGGCTGGATGAGGAAGCATCCTGCAATCCATTCCCCACATGACTGCCAAATAAATCCTGGAGCACAAGGAATGAGGGCTGCCCTGGGAAGTGTTGAGAGTACTGTAGCATGCCTACACTGTACGGGAGCAGACGACTTAAAAAAACTTCTATGGTTTAACTCTACCCACTGCTCCCTAAGAAATAGGCCCCTTACAAGGCAGAAGACTTAAGTGCCTTGCGAGTCTTACTTTTCTTGCTTATAAAGTTCTTATATACTGTAATTCAACTGAGATCACGGGGGTGGGGGTGGGGAGGGGCTATGCATACCTGTGCGCACCCGCAAAAGCTGAAGGCTGATACTGAATTTCTTACTTGATTGTTCTCCACTTTATATATTCAGGCAGGGTCTCTCAGCTGTACCCAGAGTTCACTAATTTGACCAATCTAGCTGGACAGTTCCAATCCGGGAATGACCTGTCTACCTCCTAAGTGCTGAGCCTGTCAAGTGTTTACATGAGTGCTAGGGTTCCTAACTCGAGCCCTCATGTTGCAAGGCAAGTCTTTACCATCTGAGCCCCTTCCCAGACCCTTGCTTTGCTTTTTCAAACAGGGTCTTGCTATGTAGCATAGTCTGGTGTCAACTTAAGCTCATGATAATCCTCTTGCCTCAGCCTCCCAACTCCTGGGCCACTAGGTCCAACAACAATAGTTTTTTTTTAAAAAAAAAGAAACCTATGTAAATGATCATGAACATATTTCCATGTTCTCTCATTTCTCCTTCAGGAGTGGGTAAAGTCCTGAAGAAGATCAACAAGGCCATTGTCTCCAAGAAGAATAAAGACATTGTGACCGTGGCCAATGCTGTGTTTGTCAAGAATGGCTTCAAGATGGAAGCACCCTTTGCGGCAAGGAACAAAGATGTATTTCAGTCTGAAGTGAGGAATGTGAACTTCGAGGACCCAGTCTCTGCCTGCGATTCCATCAATATGTGGGTTAAAAATGAAACCAGGGGTGAGTGCTACCTAGCGTTATGTGGGTTCACATGTTGTGAATGGCAGAGTGAAATGCAGTGATTCTGGCTGTGGTCTTCGAGACCAGTGATTGCTTTACTGAGCACCACCTGGGTTCAGGCGGGCTCTGACCTTCCTTGTTCTCCCTGGCCCCAGGTCTTGGGTCTGCCTGCTTCATGCAGAATGTGCTGCCAGTGCTCACTGTACAGGGTTTTCAGTGGGCAGTGGTATAGAATGCAGCCCTCTACCTCTCTCATCGCCTGCTGTATCCTGCCTTCAGAGCCTTGCCTATGGGTCTGGTCTGTTTGGTCTTCTTGCCTGATTTTCTTAGTCATCTACTGTTTCCTTGACATGGAACACCCCTCTCACACTTTGGATTGGTTTCTCTCTTGTGCCCAAGCCTCTTCCATCACCAGGCTGTGGATGCCCCTTCACTGGCTGTGTTTGGCCTGTGATTACACCTTTTGAACCCCTCCATTATAGCACTTTCCACATCACGTAATGACTAGTTGTTTAGATGTTTTTTCTTATTACATGGAGATGTCCAATGTCGGTGTTTAAACCTGCTGATTTGTAAGCTGGAGGTCTCAGTGGAGACATTCAGGAGGAGCTTTAGGCCTAGAGCCGCAGAGGGATATTGTTCTAGTTCATTTCTGTTGCAACAATAAAATAACCTAACAAAAAAGCAGGGGAAGAAAGGCCTTATTTTAGCTCACAAGTCCAGGGAAGCACAGCCACAGAAGCTTAAAGCAGCGAGTCACATTACATCCACAGTCAAGGGCAGAGGGAAATAGATGCATGCGTGCTTAGTACTGAGCTAGCTTTCTCTGTTCATATAGTCCAGGGCCCCCAAACATGGGGATGGTGCTGCCTGTTTTCATGCTGGGTCTTCTTGCATCATTTAAGATGCTCAAAACAATCCCTCTTTGAGACTCTCTTCCAAGATGATTCTAGGTTGTATTAAGCTGAAAAACTGTCCCAGATGGTGAGACTATCCCAGTGCTTTTGGAAGCCTGTTTGAGTAGCAGGGAGAGACAGTCACAAGAGAAACGGAGACTCAACAAGTTAACTGGCCTTTCAGGATGTTTTTCAAAGCCCAGTTCCTGGTTCAGGTGAATCAGGATTGCCCAGGGGTATATTTAGAGTGATATTCCTTGGCCTCAACTTACTAGGGAAGAATTTCTGAGAAGGGCTGGTCGCCTCCGGTTGGGCTCCATCGCCCTACTTACATATGTGAAAGCGTGATCACCTCAGGAGTTAAGGAAGAGGGGGAGGAAGGATGTGCAGGGAGTGGAGGAGAGCCAGCGATTTTAGTAGCTCTGTAGCCCCTCTTCTCAGTTGCTATGTGGTCAGGGCTCTGATCCTGAGATCATGCCAGTGTCACAAGAGTGGTAGTATGTGTGTTCAGAGCTAGTTCTGGGCTATTGGTGCCTGTAGGTCTGGTGGCAGCAGGTACACATAGGACTGGCTCCTGGTCCTGATGCTGACTGTGTGATATCACTTCATTGTACCCTTGGACTTATCTACCTGTAGAAAGGTAATGTTGACCTACATTAGCAGTGTACCATCTGATGGTTTCAGAGCACCTGACTACCTGTGCTGGGGACCTCAGGCAGTGCTTTTCAACTCTGTCAGACCCAAATCTCTCTGTTTCTTTCCATCTTGGCAATGCTACTGACAGAACCTAGGGCCTTATGCCATGCTAGGCAAGTGCTAGAACACTGAGCTAGATCCTCAAGCTTACATTCCCTCATTTATTTTATTTTATCTTATTTTATTGGTATTTTTGAGACAGCATCTCCCTATAGCCCCAGGTAGCCTGGAACTTGCTTTGTAGACTCAAATACACAGAGATCAGCCTGCTTCTGCCTCCTGAGTGCTGGGATTAAAGGAGTGCGCTGTCACGCCCAGTGACATTCCCTCCTTTAAACATTTTTAATATTCATTACTATCTAGAAGTGAAATTCATAAACATGTATACTCTTTACACAAATACACAGATTAAAAACATTAATATGACGTCAGGCCATAATATAAGAGAAAACAAAAGTAATTTATAGATGTGGTTCAATAGCTAAACCTTGGTTTTCAACACCTTAAAACCTAGTTTTTGTATTTGGCATTTTTATCAAATTCTCAGTATAAATTTAAACAAGCAGTGCAACAGTAGGTGAAGACGGGTCTGTTGTAGCTGTTACACCATGACATGAGGTACTATTGCTGGTACAGTCTTTTCTAGAACAGTGCAAATTTCTTGGTAAACTTTCAAACAGACTAAAGTGCATGTGCATGTTATTGGTTTGCATGGTAGTCCTGTTGCCAGAGAATTTCACATATATAGAAATCTGGAAAGAAAATTATGTGGGGAGTGTGTGGGTGTGGGGAGTGTGTGGGTGTGGGGTGAGTGTGCACGTGCCTATGTGCAGAAAAGAGTGGGTTTCTGTGGTTTGAATCATGATACACTTCTCACTATGGGACTTTTGCTAGGGTGTGTGGCTATCATGCAAGAAGCAAGGCAAAGCGATGCCCACCTGTAACCTCAGCATTCAAGAGGCTGAGGCAGGAGGATCACAAATTCTATGCCAACTTAGGTTATATAAGTAGACCTTGTTTCAAAAATAAATAACTAAATAAATTAATGAATGAGTGAATGAATAGAATTTAAAATAGAAAGCAGGACATTCTTCTTTGTGTGGGACTGTTTTGAACACAGAGCATGTGGCTTATCTGTTATTGCCTTCTCAACCAGAATCCTCCCACAGATCTCCAAACAGGCAGCCTGTGTCCCAAGATAGGTAAGCTCCTCCAAGGAGATGCTGGTTCCTTCCCCACAGAGGAAAGGAGGTGCAGCGCAGAGGTGCCTGCAAGGCACACACCAGCGCCAGATCTGACCTGGAGGCCTTTCTGCAGCGTGACTCCTCTTCCACATACCCTGCCGTGTGGGCTCCTCAGCCTTTGTCACAGACCCCCACCCAACTATGCAGCAACGTGGAGCATATCCTTCTTGCTTCCCCATGAAGCTCCTCCTCCGTTCTGCACCACCACACCACATAAGTGGCACAGGAGCCGCAGGCTCGGCTCAGTTCAGAGCTCAGTTCTGCTACTTGCCAGTCAGCTTTGTAGCCTTGAAGTTGCTTAAGCTCTCCATGCCTCAGTTCCTCATCTGCAGAATGGCGATGTAGCATGATAACTATAAGAACTAGAGATGGAGAGATGGCTCGGAGGTTAAGAGCACTGGCTGCTCTTGCAGAGGACCCAGATTCGATTCCCAGCACCCACATGGCAGCTAACAACCATCTGTAACTCTAGTTACGGGAATTTGACACCCTCTTCTAACCTCCATGGGCACTGCATGACACAAGTGCACTTACATACATGCAGGCAATTGAAAAATAATAAAATATTTTGAAAAAGAATAATGGCAGCATGAAGGCTGGTTTTTTCTTTTCTTTTCTTTTCTTTTCTTTTTGAGGATGTGAATGATACACGGGAAGCACTGCAGAGGGCCTGGCACTTCACAGAATGCTTATCAAGTGTGAGCTGATTTCACAGTGGCTAGCTAAAGCCATGCTTCCCGGGGACCGTCTGTCACATCAGATGCCCCTTGCATTTGCCCCAACTGACTTAAGCACTTTCACTTTAAGGTGTTTGCTAAAGTTGCAGCTTTAGATGTTTCCAAATCTTTTTGACCTCTACCTCCAATCCTTAGCTCTTTGAGGGCAGGGCCTCTTTGTTAACCTATTAAAGAGTATACTTGGTATGTGATTGTTGGGTATCCCAAGATGGATGAGGATGCTCAGTACTTATTTGTGGCAACACTGATGGCAGGTCTCCCAGGTACCCCCTCATCTCCCAGCTGTTCATTTCTTCTCTTTTTTTCTTTGTCCCTATTTATTTCATCGTGCCTCCAGCCTCAATACATACTCATCCAGAGTGGAAATTCAAGACATTACTTTTTTATTGTTTGTTCTTGTTTTTATTTTTATTTTTGAGACAGGGTCTCACATATCCCAGGCTAGCCTTAAGCTCAATATTTAAGCTGAGGCTTGCCTTGAATTCCTGATTCTTTTTGCCTCCACCTCCTGAGTAGTGGGCTTACAGGTGTGCAGAGACACCCCGCTGGTTTTTGAAACATTGTAGGCTGAGGTTTTCTCAGGCTCTCATTGAGCCCTGACTGTAATCCTCAGTGTAGTGCTAGGAGTGAGAATGAAGGATGGAGGAATTAATGCAGCTCACCATGCAGCTGGGGGATACAGGTACATTCAAATTGCCTGGAATAAATAGCACCACAGCGACTGGTGCACCAGGCCTCTGAATGTGAAGGTGAGAGGCAAAGCAGCTCTTGCGAGATAGAGAGGAGTGATGGGGGCTTGGGTATTGAAAGGGAAGGATGGATTCCTCTGAAGGACAAAACAGCATTCAGTGCTGGGAATTAGTTCTATGGAATCCTTTTGGAGGATGCTGTTCGCAGAGGCACTGAATTGAATGGTGGCTATTTAGGGCCCCTGGTTTCCTTTCAGGACCTGACTTAGCTGGCGTTGATGCCCCCACATGGAAGAAAGAAGCACTGAAGACACTGCATCCTGGGTACCAGGAGCTTCCCCTGTGCCAGCACCAGCTTCTTTCCGAGTTGTTCATCATACATCAGGATTCCTTGAGCTTCATTTTAGGAGACTTGAAGCTCTCTACATAAATTAGATATCTGGGCTCTTTGGAGCTGTTAACTTTACTGTCACTATTTCAAGTATTATAACTTGCATTTATGTTCACACACACACACACACACACACACACACACACACACACACACACACCTACCTCTGAACCTTGTAAGACCAAGCCAAAAGGAACCTAAGTGAAAAACCTAAACACCAACCGCAGATGGCTTTTGAAGGATCACATGAGCGTCTTGAAGAGGGTGCTTGTTCCTTCACTACTGATGCAAGTGAGATGAAGCAACCTCGCATCCCAGCAAGAGAGCACTTACCTTCAAAGTTGGGAGCCCTCAGAGGCTAACTGTTTCTTCTTGTGTCTGTAACATTGGGAGCTAGCTCAATGCCTAGTTCTTAAACGGGAACACAATGTTCAGTTTCAGTTCTTCATGAAGTAAGCATGAAGGCTTTCAGTAACCAGGGATTCCAGACTAATCCAAGGCCGTTCTGAGATCTTGGAAGAAATGAAGTGTCTGCTGTTAATAGCATTGCACAGGCTGGAGTGTTTGTTTTGACTGGGATTAAATTAACCCAGTGACTTAAAAAAACAAAGTGAAGCAAAAACTGCTTATCTTGTAGGTACCAGGAACTCTCACTAGTATTCACATGTCAGTTGCCAGTAAAAAAACAAAAAAATTATTGTTAATTAGATATAGCTAGTTTGGATGCATAAAATTTTCTAAAACATGGGGCTTACAGAACCAGTTGTAATCTCTTGAAGTTTGGCAACTCCTAAGTAGAGGATCTCTATAGTCTTCTCTAGTGATTTCAATTTCTTTTTCAATTTTACTAGAAAAATTTAAATTTGAGTGAGAAAAAATTAGGAAGTATAAAAAGATGCTTTAAAAATCCATTTGAGGAACAAGAGTTGTAGCTCAGTTGGTAGAGTGCTTTCCTAGCATGCAGGGGCCCTGGGTTCAATTCCAAGTGTCATATAAATGAAGCATGGTAGCATACACTGTAATCCCATCACTTGGGAGGTGGAGGCAGGAGGATCAGAAGTTCAAAATCGTTCTTAACTATATAGAGAACACAAGGCCAGCCTTGGGTACATGAAACCCTGTCTTAAAAAAGATCCATTTGGCTTTTCATTCTCCCTCAGTAGCTACCATTTGCCCTCAGTGTGGTCTCCAGCGATCAGGTTTTCTCTCTGTTCTTAAACTTCACAGGCATGATCGACAACTTGCTGTCCCCAGATCTGATCGATGGGGTCTTCACCAGACTGGTACTTGTCAATGCCGTATATTTCAAGGGTTTGTGGAAATCGAGGTTTCAACCTGAAAACACAAAGAAACGGATATTCGTGGCAAGTGACGGGAAATCCTACCTAGTGCCAATGCTGGCCCAGCTCTCGGTGTTCCGCTGCGGTGAGTGCATGCTGGGCGAGGCCTGTTCTAGAATGTGCTGGTGGCAGAAAGGCTCTCAAGTGGTTTGACTTCACTCAAGAGCATATCTTTGGAAGAAGCAAAGTAGTGGCTCAGGCCTGTAATCCCAGCACTTAGGAGGCTGAGGTGGTAGTGATTGCTGTGAGTTCAAGGCCAGCCTAGACTGCATAGAGAGTTGCAGGGCAGCCTGGGCTATTGTGTGCAGCATACTCTCAAAAATAGAATAAGCTGGGCTTGGTGGCACATGCCTTTAATCCCAGCAGAGGCAGAGACAGGCGAATCTCTGTGAGTTCAAGGCCAGCCTGGTCTACGTAGTGAGTTCCAGGACAGCTGGGGCTACAGGGAGACTCTGTCTCAAAAAGACCAAAAAATAAAATAAAATAAATAAAATAAAATAATAAGAAAGTCCTTGAATCATGAATAGGAGATGTGATGGAGAAGTAATTAGCATTACAAATTCTAGACAGGGAACTAGAAAAAAGTCAGAACAGGGCAATTTTAAAATGTTCATATGAAAGTCCATTGGAGTTTCTTGACAGGGACTTCCAAAAGCATCCCTCTATTGACCTCCAGCTTCAATACATATTTATCCTTTTCTCTGGGTCACTCTGTCCTCTAAGGTTAGTAATGGTACCCACTGTTTGTAGCCCCAGCTTCCATCCCGTGCTTTATATAAAGCCTTCATTTATCTCTGCCTACATGACCCAGCTTGACGGCATATCAGTTTCCTGCCCAGTGTGACTTCTGTACTGAGCTCAGGACAGAACACATAAATGTTTTTTACTTTTCATTTGCTCATGAGTCAATACAGCAACAGCGTGGGCTCATCCTTCTCGCCCTCCTTTCTTGTGCCTGTCATTAGGTCTTCCTGGAACAACAGGGCTTGGAACCTAGCTGCTTTCTGGGCCTTTGTGCTGTGAGATTGTCATGCATCCCCTGGTTTCATACTTTGCCACCAAGTCAGCTTAACATGGTGAAATAGGCTTGCCTGGAGGTGGCTGTGAGGAGGGCCCAGCAGGCTGTGGTGGCCCCAAGCAGGCATTTTCATGACTGCAGACTGCTTAACCTGTCAGCCATTTCTGCCCATCTCCTTGGCCTCTGCTAGTGGTACTAGTCAGAGCTCAGAGGCTGCTGTGCCCAGACTCGCATGGCTCACAGGACTTCCTGTTGGGCGTTTCCTGGGTCTCAGCCAAGCCTCGCTGTTCTTGGGCACTTTGCTGAAAAACTGCCAATCAGTGGATCTGTCTTTTCTACTTTTCCCCTAAGATGATGTCAACATCTCTACACTGAGAAGGCTCACTTGGTAACATCAAGGAGAGGGGATGAAAGAGAGAAAGGCGATGCTTCTGATTTCTACCTCATAAAGAATAAGCACTTCAAGGATAGAAACATTCCTATTTTAGAAAGACTTTAGGGGCTAGAGAGAAAGCTCAGTGGTTAAGAATACTGACTGCTTTTGCAGAGGACCTGGGATCAGCACCCACATGGCGGCTAACAACTGTCCATAACTCCAGTTCTAGAGGATCCAATGCCCTCTTCTGACCTCTGCAGGCACTGCATATTTGTGGTACACCTGCATCCATACAGGCAAAATAAACACATAAATAAAAATTAATTAAAAATTTTAAAAAGCTTTAAAGTATTGTTTGGTAGAACAATATTTCATGCCCACTTCAAAATCAAATACAACAGTATGACATTAAATAAAGCAGAAAGAAAAAGTACTCTTATAATCCCACTTTCTATTAAGTGCTAGGTGTCATCATTTGGGCCCTATTCTGTGAATATGTAAGCTGGAGAGATGGCTCAGCAGTTACGAGTATATACTGCTCTTGTAGAGGACCTGACTTCAATTCCCAGCACTCACATCATGCAGCTCATGACTTGCCTGTAACTCTAGTCCCAGGGGATTTGACACTTCTGGCCTCCACAGGCACCTGCACACACATGCACATACCACACACAGACATGCACAGTATGCATAATTTAAAATAATAAAAGTAAATCTTAAATAGATATATTTGAGGCACATAGGGAGTTGTATTGCGATTTCTTTTCTATAATTTGCTTTATTTATAGCTACTGTATCATGGAAAACATTTTCCATCAATTTTTTAGGATTCACAAGACAATTTTTTTCAGTTGCATATTCATGATAGAACTGTATCATAATATCTTATGGATAGCTGGTTACTTTGTTCTTCTAGTAAATAACTCTGCAGTGAATATTCTTACATAAATTTTGTGGATGCTTATGTTAGTAGTTGTAAAGAGTGGTAAAGGTAATTTGCTAGGAATTGCTGAGTTGTTACAAATTTTCTGCTTAATTGCTTATGAATTATAGACATTATAGACTTTATTCTGGAAAATACCATAAAGAATAACTGTGTTTCTGTTTCTGTGTATATATATGTGCACATGCATGTTCATGTGGGTGTATGTGCAAGTATGTGTCTATATGGGGGGTGCACGCGGAAAGCAGAAGTCCATGTTGGCTGTCTTCCTCAGTTGTTCTCTGCCTTATTTTTTGAGCCAGCATCCCTCACTGAAAGTGGTGCTCACCAGCTCACCTAGGTTGGCTGGTCATCCAGCCCGGAGGATCTACCTGTGTGTTTCCCCAGCATCCCTCACTGAAAGTGGTGCTCACCAGCTCACCTAGGTTGGTTGGTCATCCAGCCCGGAGGATCTACCTGTGTGTTTCCCCAGCACTGGAATTATAAATTTGCTGCCATGTCTAGATTTTTACCTGGTTACTGGGGCTAGAACTCAGGTCCTCATGCTTTCATGAAAGGCACTTTACCAACTGGCCAGTGCCCCAGACCACCCCCTGCCCCCCTTTTTAGTTTCCAATTTCTCTTTGTGCTCAGTGAGTGTTTTGTATCTATCTTCCAATATTTCTTTTCCCTTGGCTGCCCCCAAAATTCTAGTTCCTCAGACTAGATGTATTATGTCTTTGCTGGTTGATTCCCCTGCCCCCAACCCCACCCAGTACTTTAGCATCAAATGGCTCCAATACTCAAGTTGTTTCCACCCAGCCTCTTTCCCATCAGCTGTCCCCAGACCCTTTTTGAACTCCAGTTTATAATGTAGACAACTGCAGTTAGAGGACCTACTTGTTGCTTTTCCAAATACGTTTTTCAGTTTCTACTTAAATAGGTTCTCAACAGTTCTCAGGAGCTCAGGAAATCTACTTGTAGTCGAAGGCCATTATAGGAATTCCTATCTATAATGCTTTCTGATACTATTTTTAAATGTCCCTTGATTTTACCAACCATGAAATGTTTGTAGCAGTTCAGCAAGTTTGTTATGCCATTCTTTGTAGGAAGTAGGGGTCAGAGCTTTACAGAGCACTCTCTAGAAAAGTGGATTCCTCTGAATGTATCTTTAAGAGAATTCTCCAGTCTTTGCATTCCATAAACTCGGCTTTTCACCAATTATTTCCCGTTAAAAGTCCAGGCAATCATTATTCATCTAAGAACAAGGCATCTTTGTTTCTTTTCAGAGTGAGAGAACCTGTGTCATGCATCATACACTGTAGAAATTGTCCTCATAGATGAGCACACATAGACTGTGCAGATGTTGAGTCAGAGAGAGCTTGGGATATGACACTGAAGGGAGGAGGCCCCATGCCCTGACCACAGCTCTCAAGTACCCTTTCCTGTTTGGTTTGTCCCATTGAGGAGGGGTCATGGCCACTGCTGCAGGCGTGGGTCAGTTCTATAACTAGACTGTGAAGAGTCACCAAACATTCAAAAGATAAGGAACCAGAATGGCCTGTGCCTCTGAGCCCTGCACTTTGCTGAAACGGGAGAATCTTGAGTTTGAACCTGGTATCTATGGCAAGACTGTTTTATAAGTAGGGGAGGATTTTTTTTACAAAGCTGCCTCCATCAGTATATGAAAGATTTTGCTCTTTGCCAGATTGTGCCAGGCACTGTGTATGTGTTCATTTTCTTGCTGCATTTTCCTGTAACAAAGATGCAACTATGGCATTTTACAGATAAAGAAACCTAGACAGAGCTAAGGAGCTTGTCAAAGTCATTGAGATATTAAATCATCCCCTAACTCCTCAAGCCACCAAGTACAGTATGGGTGTGGGTGAATACTGCCCACCTGCTGACCCTACTTACCTGCTGCTGGGGTTTGATGCAGAGAGAGAGGCAGGGAAGCCTCAGACATCTAACAGATGTGCCTGCCTGTGCAGGCTGGTTGTTTTACTGGTCAGTAGTGGCATATTCAGTTAGATTGGGTTAGCCAGTGAATGTGCCTACATCCCCCTCCTACACACCCGGCTCATACTTCATTATCCACACCTTCAGTTCTCCCTAGCAGAACAGTCCACATTTCTGAAGCAATTAATCCTGCCAGGTCCTTGTTTTATGCCCTGGAGCAATAATTTATTAACTACTTCCCAGATTCACCATTTCTAAAAATTAACTCTGCTAGTGCTAGAGATGATGTTTTCTTCAAGGATTAAAGGGCTCATTAGGAAGTGATTTTTTTTCTCGCTTTCTCATTGATTTTTCAGTTTCTACTGAGACCATTTTATCATGCAGGCTAAAAGAAAAGATGAATCCTAACTTTGATTCTTGTAAGACAGAAGCCAGGCTGGTGAGAGTTCACAGCAATTCCCAAGCAGAGGCCACCACACTGGATTCCTGAGCTGGCCTGTAGCCAGTACAGCCGGTGAACAGGGAGACAGAGAAATTTTACCAAACCCTGCAAAATTCTAGCCCTATAATGCCAGCTCTTCTAGCAGCTTTACTATTTGACTGTATTTTATGGCTAAAGGTACTTATTGTATAACAGTTTGCTTTCTTTCTATGTTTTCTCTTCCATCTGTTCTCCCTCTGTGGAGACCTTTTATGGAAACACGGCCTGTTGAAGTTCTCCATATCAAATCAGCCAAGGTTATCCCCTAAGAAAAAAAGTCCAGTGAAAATCACAAGTGAATCTCACTTCCTCTTTTCCCTTTCTTAATTGTCTTTCATTTAGAGGAGGAGGAAGAGGAGGAGGAGGGTCCATGGTAACTACTGTATGAATTTTTCCTCATTTTACTCGCTCCCCAGCAACTCTGTGGGACCCGTATTTTAATATCCTGATATTTCCATCTGTGTATAGGGATGGCACCAAGTAACTTCATCGTGGCCACAGAGTTGTGTTTGAAGGTTAGTGTTTGGGCTGGAGAAACTGCCTCACACAGACCTTCTGGCTTACTGGTTAAGAGTACTTACTGCATTTTCAGAGGTCCTGAGTTCAGTTCCCAGCACCCACGTCAGGTGGTTCACAACCACCTGTAACTCCAGCTCTCGGAGATTCAATGTCTTCTTCTGGTCTCTGTGCACACCCCCACGCACTTGGCATTTACTACATATACATATAAATAAAAATAGTAAAAATAACTCTTTAAAAAAAGCTTAGTGTTTACTAAAACATTTTAGAAATCCCCCATAAACCTAGACATGCTAGTTTTGTTGTGACTCTTCCTTCTATGCTTAGTTTGAAGGTTCCCTCAGATCCTTAAGTATGTTCTACAGGAAACACTTTGTCCCAGGAACAGTTCACAGCCTTTCTGGGCCCCACTGTGAAGTGGGCCACTGGCTGACCTCTCTTGAGTCTCAGTTGTACTGTGCAGTTGTTCTCCCTGAGTCTGTCTGAGTTCTCTGTCGTTATGATACTTCCCTTGTTGTTATGCAGACTATCTGACAAGAGCAATTTAAGGAAGGCTCACAGTTTGAGGGTGCAGTTCTTAATGCGGGGAGGTTAGTGGTAGCGGTGGTATAGAGGCCGCTGGTCATGTCACATCCCCAGCCAAGAAGTAAAGAGAAAAGAAACCTGGCTTGGCTTTCTCCTTTTTAATTCCATCCAGGACCCCAGCCTATGGGTGGTGTTGGCTCAGAGTTAGGGTAGGTCTTCCCACCTCAGTTAACCCAGTCTAGAAACTGCCTCACACAGACCTGCAAGCATGCTGTGGCATGCATTTCCCCACCCCCATGCATCATGTACATGCACCCACAATAAATTTCTTTTGAGACAGATTCTTACTATGCAGCGCAGCCCCAGCTGGCACAGAACTTGCCATGTAGACCATCCCAGGCTGACCTTGATCACACAGTGATCTGCCTGCCTCTGTCTTCCCTGTGCTGGGATTAAAGGCATTTGCCACCACACCCAGCAATTAAAAAAAAAAAAATTTAAAAGAAACTTCCTCAGAGACCTGCCCAGAGTTTTGTCTCCTGGATGACTCCAGATCCTATGAAACTGACCATCAATGTTAACTATTATAATTGCAAAGACAAAATAGCTAAGACTGGGTAATTTATTTGAAAAATAGGTTTATTTGGCCCATGGTTCTGGAGGCTCGGAAGTGGTAGAATATGATGCTTGGTGAGGGCCTTGCTGTATGGTAGCATGAGAGCAGGCAGGCACAGAGAGTGTCAGCTTAAATCTATCTTTCTTCAAAAGCCACAAATGTGATCATAAGACTCATACCCTCGTGACCGCAGTCTAAACCTCACTGCTTTGCAAAGGACTCACCTTCTAAAATATTGACATATGAATTTAGGTGTTAATATTTCTAGCATATGAATTTGGGACAACACATTCAAGCTATAGCAGTTGCTGTGAGTATTTAACATGGAAAAAAGGGCCTTAAGATAACATAGGGATCCCTAGAGTTAAACACTTTTCTTGACTTCAGAATGTCTGGGAATCTTTACAATGCTGTCATAGATTAAGGATCTCCAGGGCTAAAGTTTCCAAGATGTAGAATCTATAAAGTATCTTTCAAGTAGGAGGCACTGGAGACACTGTTTTGAGAAATGCTGGTTTACATAATTCTCGAATTTTCATTGAGTAGAGGCAGAGTGAGAGGTGAAGTCAGGGTATTGAAGAGGGTGACTATCCAGGCTCTCCACTTCCTAGCCATGGGTCTCTTAACATGTTGCTTAATCTCGCAAATTGTAGCCTCCTCCTGTAAAATAGGACTGGCCATACTTACCTTGTGGAGTGCTGTCAGTTATAAATCTGTTGAGTAGTGGATAGGGCCTGGGCAATGTGAACCTAAGTAATGCAAGTGTTCATCTACCTCTGTCTGCACATTAACTCAAAGGATGTGGCAAAAATGAAGACTAGGTTATAAAATTGTACTAAATTGAGATGTTCCTCTTAACACAAAAATAGCACTTCAAAGCAGGTGATTATGCGAGATGATGGATGTGCTAATTAGCTTCACTATAAAAATTATTTTATTATGTCTAACCTATCCCAGCATGTTGTACACCATAAATATGTATACAATACAATTTATTGTCTAAAAGTAAAAATTTAAAAACTCAAAAAAGTAGCTTAAATTCATTCTTTTGCTCATATTAAGGTCAGCTTCTTACAAATCACTGTGTTGTGAGTACCTAATGATCTACTTAAATTCTACTCAGCAGAATTGAAGTGCATTTAGTGATGCCTAGAGGTATTCTGTCTAGACTGAAGAAAGAGAATTCTGCACCAGGGAAGAAAGAAGCCATTGTCCTTCTCTTAGACCTTCTGGGGAGGCTATTTGTGGAAAAGGGAGCTTTGCAGGCTGAATTGCTGTCTTTTTCCTGCAGCATCCCTGGTGACTGGCAGGCACTTGTGCCCATCTAGAAGTCATCAGGTGTGAACTGAACCTGCTTCTGATTTTTTTTTTTTAAGGATCTACAAGTACCCCAAATGATTTATGGTATAACTTCATCGAACTACCCTACCATGGCGAGAGTGTCAGCATGCTGATCGCCCTGCCCACTGAGAGCTCCACCCCGCTGTCTGCCATCATCCCTCACATCAGCACCAAGACGATCGACAGCTGGATGAATACCATGGTGCCCAAGAGGGTGCAGGTGGTCCTGCCCAAGTAAGTGTCCTTTCTCTAAAAGAAAGGTTGTGTGTGTTTGTTGTTCAGTGAGTAACTGTCAGGATGCTAAGATTTCATATGTCACAAGACTTGTTCTATTTTGTAGAGAATACGTTTTTGAGAAAACAAGGCTGTGTTTTCTCACAGCTTTCTCTATGCCCTTGTGTTGCTTGGGTGGTGGGACAATGATAATAGTAATGGAGAGAGGGCAGCCTTGGCCGCAGGGCCTCAGCAGGAGTGCAAGTTCTTCATGACCCTGTGGCAACTTTTAACATAGCTCTTTCTACTCAAAAACTTGGAAAAATGTATATATCTTCAGATTGTATGGATGAAAATGCAGTAAAGTTTAAGGAGCTCCTTGAGATAAGGAGATTCATTGGTTATTCGGGTTTCTGTTAGAAGCTGTTAAAGACCAAAGCTCAAAAGACAGTGATCAGTTAAGTGCTTTGGAACCACCCAGGCAGAATTCTTACACTAGTGTTTAAGGCAGTTTTTCTGTTATACCCCAAAAGTAAACTATAGATGGACACTCTCGCCATGGTAGGGTAGTTCGATGAAGTTATACCATAAATCATTTGGGGTACTTGTAGATCCTTAAAAAAAAAAAAAAAAAGACTTGAAGCCAAGGTGAAAGCAATCCCAAATTCTGTATGAATCCTCATTTCTAACAGTTCAGAGAACACGTTCTGCAGCCTACAGAGGCAGTGGAATTTGTGCCCCTTCTGTGAGCTTTTCAGCATTACCAGTTTTACTATCCAGAGCATCCATCCACACCTCAGCAGGAGTAGAGAATTCCAATTGCTTTGATTCTCCAGTCTCTGAGTTAAATAATCACAGTAGTATATTTATAAGCATCAGAACTCCTCCCAAGGAAGGTGAGAGATGGCTCAATGGTTAAGAGCTCTTACTGCTCTTGCAGAGGACCATGGTTCAGTTCCCAGCACCCATGTGGTGACTTAAACCATCTGTGACTCTAGGTCCAGGAGATCTGATGCCCCTTTCTGGACTCTGCAGGCACCTGCATGTACATGGTACACATAAATTTATGGGGCTAGAGAGATGGCTTAGTGGTTAAGAGTACTGGCTCCTCTTGCAGAGGACCCAGGTTCTAGTCCCAGCACCCACATGGTGGCTAACTACCATTCATAATTGCAGTTCCAGGGGATCCAATGCTCTCTTCTGGCCTCCACAGGCACTGCATGACACAGGGGCACTTACATACATGTATGCAAAACACTCATACACATAAAAATAAAAATAAAAATAAAAAATTTATTCAAGTACACACACATACACACTGAGAAACAAAAACTCATCACCATTTTTCTTTTTAAGTAAGCCTTCATTTTGGCAGTGCTTGATGTAAATAAATCAGAGGCGGCACTGTGGGCCTCTCATAGTAGGTAAAGAGCAGCAAATTACCACTGCAACCCATCTGTGGTGAGAACCTGCCTCCTTCCCTTGCTGCTCTTCCACAGGGCGAGATGAAGTCTCATGTAAAGCATGCTCTGATGGTACAGGCCTAACACCTGCCTAACACTTACATGGGTGTGACCCCAAAGTCAGGCTCATCACTGATATATAAGAAACTCATGTTCAAATATGAGCCATGTCACCTTTTCCTACTGTTTTAACAGTGAAATGCTTTTAGAATCCCAACATACATGACTTGGAATGTAGCTCCCCTCTTTAAGCTATCTCCAGTCCCAGTAAGAGCTGTGGTTCCTGGAACAAGATAGAGAGCCTGTCACTTGGATGTCCATGCTTGGCATGTGTAAGTAGAGGATTATTCCCTGCTTACCTGGTGGATTAGATGTTAGGATTAGAGGCCAAGCTACAGCTCAGATTGGTATTCCGATCTTTCTTAAAGAATCTGTTTGTAAATATGTGCTGATTATGTTATTTTTGTATCACTTATGGAGTTTTGATTCCTCCCCCACCCATATTTTCTGCTTTCATGTAGGTTCACAGCTGTGGCACAAACAGATTTGAAGGAGCCCCTGAAAGTTCTTGGCATTACTGAGATGTTTGAACCGTCAAAAGCAAATTTTGCGAGAATAACAAGTATGTTCAGTTGAAAATTTATTCTTACACTCAAAGAAAAATGTTAATTTCTAATTTATTCTAAGAGGAAAGATCAGAATCAGGGTTTTGGCCCTAAAACTGTCCAAGTTTTAATTTGCTGTACTGCCAAAGGGTGCTGTTGACTGTCACCATGTCAATTAGCATTTGTCATTCACTCCTCTGTTTCATGTGGACGTTTCTTTAAGGCTGGAGGGACCACAAGGCTAAAAGAATACTTCATGTGTTGCCTGTTACCCAAATTTGGCTCCCCGACCCCCAGTGCTGGGAATCCGACCCAGGGCCTTGTGCACGCTAGCCAGGTGCTCTACCACTGAGCAGCATCTCTAGCCCCAAACTTTGCCTCTTTATTTTTCAATGCAAATTTTTCCCCCCTTGGAACTGGAAAAAACATCTTGAATTTTGAGCACTCAAACATTAACATCTTCTGAGAAACTGTTGGCATGCATTGTATCCAGGTAAGTGTTTTGCCATTTTAGGCCCTTTAATTTGAAATAACGGATTTGAATGAGTCTGACTCTGACTTTTCTTCACCCAGGAAACGATTAATAAGACATACCTGGTATCACATCCCTGAATTTGGCAGTCTATGGAAATCTTCCTATAATTATTTGAATGGGTCAGGTCTTTGCCGCTTACATTTAGAACATGGTGGCCTTCTTCCAAAGAAAAGCCATGGCTTGAACATGGTAAATGCTCCAGTGTGTGTTTTGCCCTTTGGCAGGAAATTAGTTTCTTCCCAGCCACAACTGCATGCTCAGGAATGCCTGAGCACCTGCTGTGGGAGAAGCACCTGCCTCCCTGCTGGGCCTGCAGCTCTGTGGTGCTTTGCATTCCCTTTTATTCCTGACCACTCACACTCTGGTCCCCGGTTCAGTACATTAGCATCATCTAGGAACTAGTTGGAACTGTACATCCTGGGTCTGGTCCAGACCTCCGGAATCACAGTCTTCATTTTAACAGGATCCTTTGGTCTGCTTTGAGAGCAGTTCCCACTGTAGAGTCACTTTTAGTGTAAGTACTAAATAGAAGGTGTCACAGGAAGGACCAGTTGCTTTGATTTCTTCTAAGATGTTCTTTTTAACCTCGTAAGTAATCTGGGCCATGTAAATGTGCATCCCAGTCACAGTCACATTAGAGCTGGGCTTTGGTGCAGACAGTATAAAACCAGTTTTATACTGTTTTTTTGTTTGTTTTTTTAAAAAAAGATACTCTTTTGCAGTCTGCATCCAGACCTATGTTCTATCAAGTTAACATTGACTGGAGTTGGCATCCTCCTGGACAGCACCACCCAGTGGGTACTGCTGGATGCTTGGGCTCTGATGAGAAGGAATGAGCTCCCTGGAGGGGCCCCAAGAAACAGCTGCAGTTCTGTGCCTGGCTGTTCTCAAGATTCCCTTTCTTTTACTGCTATGGTGCAGGACAAGTAACTGGGGTGTGAAAAGCCAGCACTTGCTTCCTCCTAATGATCCATGTTAGCAGGGCACAGATTTCTTAACATTGTGGGCCTCAGTTTCCCTGTTTGGAAGAGCTACATGAAATCCTTCCTGGGCTCGGCAGTGTATAATTGAACAATATTGTTTTCTTTCTTCTGCAAAACTGGGCATCTTTACAAATCTCTGTGCTTATCATGTTTAAAATAAAATTCATAGTAATCAGAGTTGAAGTGAGTTGAGGCTCTAAGACATTTGTGGTCCAGGCCTCCGTCCCAGAAGTTAGTATTGCAGATCACGTCCAGAAATTAAAATTTACCTCAGGTGACAGCCACCTCCAGCCCTCGGTCTGCAGACTGTCAGAGGTCACCAGATCCTTTTCAAACCTGGCATTTGCCATGGCTTTGGGGACACTTTCTGACTGTGTACAGGGCCTGCTCCACCAACAAACACTGGTTTTGTTTTATCTTCCGGGCACAGAGTCAGAAAGCCTTCATGTCTCTCACATCCTGCAAAAAGCAAAAATTGAAGTCAGTGAAGATGGAACCAAAGCTTCAGCGGCAACGAGTAAGTGCCAGGTCACGTGGCAGGGCCTCTTCCAGTAGAAGGCAGGACTCCTCAGCTCACCTGTCACCTTAGCACACTTCTAGGGAGACTCATTTCCAGCTGACACTTCCGAGTGGGGATGGGGGTCGGGGGTGACCCTTGGGAAACAGCAGTGAGTATGGGTAAAGGAAATGGTTCATTTAAAAAAAATGAATGGCAGGAGTATACCTCTAGTACTTTCCCAGCCAGCATGCACAAGGCCTTAAATTTAACCCTCAAAACTGAGGAAGAAAAATCACTTAAGTATACGAAATGGCTCTAGGATGGGAGTCAGTATCCTGTGGAAAGAGCCTGTGGCATGTGTTTCAGCCTTGTGGTGCTCACTGTCTCCAGCACCACTCATCAAGTCTGCCACTAAGGCAAGAAAGCGGCCATAGATATGTACCTGAGTGGGCAGGGCTCAGTGTTCCATTAAAACTTTATTTACAAAGGCAAGAATTGGCCATGTAGGCTTAGCTCAAGGACAATAGTTTACTGACCCCTGCTCTCAGGACAGTCAAGCATGTTTAACTGCTTACTGTCAGAAAAGACTGATCTTTAAATTGAAACAATAACAGATTACTTACAGGACCATAGCTAGTCAGGTCTCTCTAGATAACACCAAGAATTAATGGTTGCCTGGAGAACAACGGGATTGTTATGCAACCTTCTCTGATAATTAGAACATCCACCTCTGTCTTCTCCTTGTTGGCTTATAAAGAACGTAGAACAAACCTTAAGCTGATCCCTACCACCACCATTATCCAGAAGTGATGTGCTCTTAGAGGGAATAACTTCAGTACACTTAGAGCTGCATTGACCATTTCTGGTCATTAAAGTTACCATCTGTTCTACAGAATCTGTACCTTATTACCTCCCAAATAAATGCTTATTTCCTTTTTATTATTAAATGCTTTAAAATAGCATTTAATATGGAAGATTTAGAATAAGAGGTTTGGTATTTAAAATACCCTTTGTGTTTTCTAGGTGGTTGTGACATCTAAATTTGACCAAAATTATTGGCCAGTTTTAGCAACTATAATTACTATCAGGACCTACACAATTTGTGGAGCCTTGTGTAAAATGAAAATATGGAGCCCTGCATTGTAAACTGTATTAGGAATTTCAAGATTACTACTGCAGAGTACTAAACCAAGTACCAGGCCCTATGTCACCATCCTGTTTCTGCTGAATTAGTCAACTCAGGCTCCCGTAACAATGCTGGAGACTGGGGGACCTAAACAACAAAAGTTTTGTTTTTGCATAGCTGGAAGTTAGAAGTCCAAGGTCAGGTGTCAACAGGGTTTGCTTCTCTCCTTGGCCTGCTTGGTATGTTCCTGTCTTCTCACATCCCTAATGCCTTTCCCATGGACCTTATTTGTCCATATTAACCTCCTTAAAAGGCCTTATCTCTAAATTTAGTCACTTTAGGAGATCAGAGCCCCAACATATGAATTTAGAGGAGACACAATTCAGCCTTTAACACCTACAATTTACCTATAATAATACTAGGAGGGTAGAGCAGTCTGCCCCTCCTAACTCTTGAGTATTCCTTTTATAACAGCAAGCCCAAGTCATTCATATTTCTAGCAGTTGGGGGAAGGAACTGAACCATTGCACCAGTGTCTGGTAGTTATATCACATCTTTGCCCTCCCTCTAGCCTCACTGTGGGCTTGTTAAGTGGGGTCTCCATTGGGAAGCATGGCAGAGTAGGCAGGTCTGAGACTTATGAGTCTAAAGAAGCTCACTTTCAGTCTAGGGATGTAGCTCAGTGGTATCGGGCTTGCTGAGCATGCATGGGGTTCTGGCTTTTATTCCTAGTACTGCAGCAATAACAAAAAATTCCTTTCTAAGTCATATGTCTGCAGCTAGTGAGTTGAGCAATAGTGTTATAGAGCAGGTACAGATGAGCCGTCTGTTTTGTTGCAAAGGAAGCCTAAAATGTACCCAAAAAAGAACACGTGGAGCTGAGAGTTGAATTTTGAGCTGGCCTTTGATCTATAGAAAGGATGTGGCTAGGTTAAAAAGGTCCAGGGGCTTCATCAGCACAGCAGATGGTCTGAATAAAAATAGCTCTCATAATAACACTGAATATGCATTGGGTGTTCATTTAATGGCAGGCTCTGTCCTAAGAGCTGTAATGCATTTTATGACATTCAGTCCTCACAAAAAGTCTATGAGGAGTAAGTACATTCATTAGAGAGGGTGTGGCTTTGATGGAGTAAATAAGACGGTAACTTGAAAAGCCTGGCCCAGTGTGACTATTCAATAAACAGTGACCATTGACAGCATTATAACACATCCACTTATGGGACAGGTTTAGTGTGTCCTCAGACACTAGCATCTGGGCACCCATAAAGTGGCCTCATGCTGAGTGGCTAACACATCTCCCTCTTCCTCCCGTAGCTGCAATTCTAATCGCAAGGTCATCGCCTCCCTGGTTTATAGTAGACAGACCTTTCCTGTTTTTCATCCGACATAATCCCACAGGTAAGCGGTTCTCCTGTTCTGTTGTCCACTGGTTGTTCATATTCAGAAAGCTGCATTCCAGCTGCATCTGCACCCATGTTGCACTTAATCGGTTTTCTTCGTGTCAACCTTAGAAAACACTATGGATTCTGTAACCACTCACTCTAAAGAAAAAGGAAAACCAAGGCTGTGTCACAGCATGGGAGGGGATCCTTTAAATGCTGAAAAGTCTTAGCTTTGGAGGAGGGTGTTTGTTTTTATAACATATAGGAGGGGCTTGTCATCCCCTTTGGAACTCTTTTAACATCTATTGATTTGTTTTTTCTTAGTTTTATGAATACCTTATATTTTTCAAGGAGCTTTATGTCTTCAATTTTTATGAGGCTACTCTTAAAATGCCCTGGGAATTCAGCAGACCAACAGATCTTAGCTTCATAGTTCATAGATTCAAACTGGGCTCTGGCCTAAAATGCGCTGGGAATACAGCAGACCGACAGATCTTAGCTTCATAGTTCATAGATTCAAACTGGGCTCTGTCCTTCAGATTTGTGTGTGTGTGTGTGTGTGTGTGTGTGTGTGTGTGTGTGTGTGTGTACACTAGAGGTCAGCCTTCCTTGATTGTTGTTCCCCAGGTGCCGTCTATATTAAGACAGACCTGGAGCTTACAGATCAGTCTAGGCTGGCTGGCCAGCAAGCCCCAGAGAATCCCTTTCCTCTGCCTCCCCAGCACTGGGATTATAAGCTATAAGGTGCACCACCACACACAGCCTTTTACATGGGTGCTAGGGACTGAACTCAGATCCTCTTGTTTGTACAGCAAACACTTTACTAGACTGACCCACTTCCCCAGGCTCCTGGTTCATCTTTATAATAAGGATATCAGCAGTTCCTTCCCTTTTAGTATAACTACAAAGTATAAGGTTATCTTTATGGAGAGTATTGCTTCACATTCTTACAGAGTAGGCACTAATGTATTTCAGCTTTTACTATTATTTTAATCAAAACGATTTCCCTATTTTTTACAATTTTTATTTTTATGTGTATGCGTGTATTGCCTGCGTGTAGGTAAGTGCACCCATGTCGTGCAATGCCCGCGGAGGTCCGAAGAGGCTGTCAGATCCCCTGGGACTGGAGTTACAAATAGTTGATAGCTGCCATGTGGGTGCTAGGATTTGAACCCGGGTCTTCTGCAAGAACAACCAGTGTTCTTAACCACTGAGCCATCTCTCCAGCCTTATCTTGTGTTTTTGTTTTTGTTTTTGTTTTTGAGATAGGGTCTCACTATGTAGCCCTGGCTGGCCTGGAACTCACTATATAGACCAGGCTGGCCCAGATATCCCTGGGCCTCCCAAGTGCTGGGATTAAAGGTGTGCAGTACTATTCATGGCTTATCTCACATTTTTTATGTTTTGTGTCAGAGCTGATTGATCAGTCCAAAATGGAGCTTCTAGCCACTTGTGACTGTTTAACCTAAATGCTAATTTAAATGATGTATAATTAAAAATTCAGCAACTTAGCCAAACTTACCTCCATTCAGACACTCAGCCTCCACTTGTGACTAGTGAGTACCATATCACACAACAAATGTGGAGGCTGTTTCTGTCCTTGAAGAAAGTTGGGTTGAATGATACAGCCGAAAAAGAGGTTGACCTCCCTTCCCTGGCATACAACACAGCACGTTCCATCCTGGGTTAAGGATGGCTTTAATGGAGTCATCCACTGTCTCTCTTTAATCCTTAGGTGCTGTCTTATTCATGGGGCAGATAAACAAGCCCTGAAGATTGTACAGAGGAAACTCAGTCAAAGCCAAGATGACTTTGCTGTGAAGAAAAGACTCCTTTTTTCACATCTTTCATAGTTCTGTTGAATATTTTTGTACATCACTTTTCTTTTTCAAAACTGGTTCATAGCGTCAGTTCAGTGATGTAAGCGTTTCTGTTCAGGGCTGTGTTAGAAGAAAAGGCAGGATGTCTGGGACACTGTGCTGAAGAGAGAAAAAGATTTTTTTCAAGATATCCAAACGATTCTTTAAACTACTGAGTGGTTACTTAGGTTAACAACCCTCTTGAGTACTTGCTGTCTGTCCAGTACAGGATTTTTGTTTTGTTTTCGTTTAAATGTATGACTTTCCAGGAGAAGTTTAATCAGTGTGACGGGGGGAAAAAAGACATTTTATGGTAGTTTTTATGTTTTTATGAGAAAAAAAATATTATTTGCCTTTTTAATTCTTTTTCCCACCTCCACCCAAAATCTTGATGGAGGCAGCATCTGATTTCAGGGGTGGATACTCTAGCCTCTTTGTGTGTTTTTGTTGTTTTATGTAATGCATGTATTCACTAAAATAAAGTTTGAAACTAATGTCTGGCTAGACACGGTTTGCTGTCAAGCCATGTGCCTGTCACTACTGGTCTGTACTCTTTGGATTGGCATTTTTGTATTTTGTACAAAGTAAAAATAAAGTGTTATGAGTAGTAAAAAGAAATGTCATTTCTCTGCTATTTGAAAAGCGACATCAAAAGAAACAGACTTTTCAAAAACATACCTCAACCTTTTGTAATAAGCCTTTGTACTTAGGCAGCCAGAAGGAAGTTCAGAATCCCTGGACTTTTTCTATCCTTTTCCTCTCAACCTGACAAGCATTGCTCCAACACTTCTCAGTTTATTGATTTCTTTCAAGCAGTGAGTGTTACAGTAATCCCCACTCTAATCTCAGCTGCAGTTCAGTTGAGCCATGGCTGAGTATTCTCCACAGACCAGGATTCCATACAAGTACAAAAGAAGTTTCTGGAGACTAATATAGTTTGGAAATCCAAGAAATGGTAGATGTTTTGATTTGGGTGACCGGCTAGAATGTTTACATTTTGAAATGACCCTTTTTGTTTGGAGGGATAATTTTTCATGTTGAATTTGTATATTTCAAACATTTGTATTTTGAAATGACCCTTTTTGTTTTGGGGATAAGTTCTCATGTTGAATTTGTGTATCTCAATTGTGTTGCCATTTGCCTGGGATTTTAAAACTAGTTTCCTAAAGATTTGTATAATCTAGCATCTAATTCAGAATAGTTTAAAACGCTACAACCGGCAAGGTGGTGGCTCAGCAGGTAAAGGTGCTGGACCTGAGTTTGATGACCTGATTGTGATCTCTGGGACCCACCTACTAGAATAATTGACTCTTACAAGCTGTCCTCCGACTTCCACATGCACACTGCGGCACTCACACCCACACCCCCCATACATACAAACAATAAATTTAATGGCATAATTTTAAAAAAGAATACTTTCAAACATTTCTTGTCAAAACATAAGAATTTACTCCCTTTTTTTTTTTTTAAGCCCATGAGCTCTGTGTTTTCTTAATGCTACATTGAATTATCGTGTTGAGCACTTGGCTATCTGCCATTCTCATTGGTAACCATAATTGTTGCTGTAAAGTAGGCTCGACTATGCTGTTTATGACTATTTAATTCTATGCATTTGGCAAATCAAGAGAGAAACCAGGGAACATTTCCCTTGTTTGGGAATAAATGCCAAAAAAAAAAAAAAAAAAAAAAAACCTATTGTGAATGGTTCTCCCAGGCTGTATTCTACTCCGTGCAAGCATGCTCCTTGTTACTAATGCCTGAGAGTCAGGTTTACTGGGTTTTCAGATAATCTGCCTGGTGTCAGAAATATATTGTGAATTACTTAAAATAGTAACAATGTTGGCAGTAAAATGAAAATTCGATACTTCATTCATCCACCCATTTATTCAAGTGCTATATTGTTTTGTATGGGATGAGAATTGGTATGATCTGGGTAGAAGGGGGGGAGGTTGTAGGAATTGTCTCCTGTGGTTGTAGAGTCTGAGAAGTTTTGCGATGCACTATCTAAGCTGCCCCCAGGGAAGTGGCAGCACAGCTCAGTCCCAATTCAGAGACCAGAGCGCTGGGAGAGCCTGTCTAACTCTTGTCAGTGGCCAAAGGCTGGTGAGCTACAGATGCCCAAAGTCAGGAGATGGGTGTACCGCCTGCAGAAAGATGAAATCTGAGTTTCCTCTGTTGTTCTAGCCTACTCTTTGACAGACTGAATGATGTCTTGCCACCCTGAGTGAAGGTGGGTCTTCCCTAGTCCACTGGCCTAAGTACCAGTCTCCCGGAAGCACCCTCACAGACATACCCAGAAACAGTGCTTTACCACCTATGTGGCATCCAGCCTATCTTCCAGGCAAGCCGACACCTAAAATTTAGCCATCCCAAATGCCTACCAAGTGCCAAAAGTATATAGGGTCCTTTTCCTAAGTAATCTTGGGAAGGACAGAGGCAATCTTGGCATAGCAAAGTACTTGTTTCAATGCATTTATGAGGTATGGAAATGAAACATAGTGGTGAGCCCAAGAGAGATGTTCCATTGGTTACAGAGCCATATGATCCCTGGACTCCCAACTCCTGCATCACTGCGCCTTCCAGAAAGAATGAGAGACTCCGCCAGAGTGGCCTTAGTATGCAGCAGAGATGGGATGCTCCCCAAGAGTTCTCTGCTCGTATTTTACTGGTTACATTTTGAAGTGTGCAGTCCCGTTTCTGAGTACTACTTTGGTAAAGTTTCAAATGTCAATGACGTGCAGAACTTGGAACGACAACATCAAGGTGCCACCTAGGCTGTACTCTTTCTCTCTTGAGCCTCCTAACTCATCCATCTCTACCTTCCTCTAGTCAACATCCACACTCTGACTCTGGCTGAATTTTGGAATCAAAATCTGTTTGTAATCCCTGGACCAGAGGGGAAATGTCCCTTTTATTTTTTTTTGTTTTAATGTATGATTCTACTTTTTAGCTTTTGATCTCTTTAAGCCATTGAGTCTGCAGGCCTTCCTTGTCTTCAAAAATATCAGTTTTCTGAAAACTCTTTTTCCTTGAAGGAAACTGGGATAAATGTAAGATATGGAGACTGCCAGGAAAATTACAGGCCTGAGAGGCCACTTTTGCTCTGTAGACATGTTTGAATGAACAATTTACCATAGATTAGATGCCACACTGAGTCTGAGCATCCTGGCAGGCTGCAATTTTCCTAAAGAAAAAAAATGGTAGACCTAGGGTAAATGCAGCCAACCACCAGCCAAGCCACTCTTCTGACAATGAGATGGGTACTTTCAATTCTGCCCAAGACACCATGGGAAATGAGAGCGGACACTGACCCAGATACGTTGGAAGCTCTCATGTCTTATTGGCCTGTTGAGTGTTTGTTCTGTAAAAGGACATGATGACAGGTGACCCGGAAAAGAATTCCAGAATCCCTTTTACAAAAAAAGTACAAGAGAGTGTACTTTGTGTCTGTCACTTTGTTTTTTTTTTTTTTTTTTGGAAATGAAAATTCAAATGGCTCCCAAGCTTCACAGGAAAGGGTATGAAGTAAGAACAGCAATTTTCTGAGTCAGCAGAGTACCACACACTCCCTTCAAGGGTCCAGAAATGGTAACTGCTGGGGCCATGAGACTTGCATAGCCTGCAGGTGACAGCTTTGTTCTCAACTTCCTGAGAGTACTGCAAAACTGTGTCCTCTGACTACTGAGAGTACTTGAGAAGGCCACAGAGTACAAATAGCCACTGGTGTTAAAGCCCCAGTTCTTTTTGAGGTGACCTCATATAGCCAAGACTGGCCTTGAACTCTGTAGCCAAGGATGACCTTGAATCTTCTGATCCTCTTGCCACCACCTCCCAAGCGTTGGGATTACAGGCATGTATAACCATGTCCAGTTTATGTGGTACTGGGACTGTGCATGCTAGGCAAGCATGCTACAAGCTGAGCTACATCTCTATCCCCAAAGCCTTGTTTCTGTGAAGACTCCCAAATTATGATTCCTTTTGTCTTCTCTCAAATCTTGAAGAAATGGAGCTGTAGGTGTGTTTTAAATGAGAGGTGTGTTAATGAGAAATCACTGTTCATCATACCAAGAACATTGTTATTTAATGTTTACAAGTTAAATTTCTGCATGTTGAGTAGCAAAATGGAAGTGAAGTTTTAAATTTAGTACCCTAGCAGGGCATGGTGGCGCACACTAATCCCAGCACTTGGGAGGCAGAGGCAGGCGGATCTCTGTGAGATCAAGGCCAGCCTGGTCTACATAGTGACTCTAGAACAGCTGGGGCTACAGGGAGACCCTTTCTCAAAAAGACCAAAAAAAAAAAAAATTAGTACCCTAACCCCCATCTGAAGTTAGCAAGGCCAGCTACCTACAGAAAGAACTGTGGCAGTTTAGGAATTGTCCTTCCTGGACATGAAAACCATTCTAGGGCCAAGAACGGAATCCCAGGAGCCCCATGAATGTCACTATCCAGTTAGTCTGCGGTAGTCAGCTGATCTTTCACAATCTTTGTCTCATTAGCTGTTGTTCTATGTTAAATGTCTTCCGGCCTTTACTGATGCACTGTCTTGGTGTGAAGGCCCTTGCATCAATAATTTTGTAAATGATGCACCATCAGAAATTCTGGCAAACTCTTCTTTGGCTTAGAAATATCCTGACCCAACTGTCAATGACCTTATGACTCATTTCTTCTGCAGAGACAGGATCAGAATAGACTAAACTCATTAGATCATTTTGCAATTTTAATGTGCCCAGCTCTGGTAATAAGTTATTCTGTGAATAATCAAGTCAAGGACTCTTGCTCAATGGCAGGGACAGTAAGTTCATGGTTTTTGCTTTTCTCAATTGCTTTTCTCCAAGAAAGTTTCTTAAATCATTAGTCTCAACGAATGCTACAAAGCAGTTAAATATATAGCAAGAATCAGTGAAAAGTCCAGATTCCCTCAGTACTGAGCATTTCTTTTTCAGAACTGTGCGTGCCTGTGGTTGTAATTTGTTTTGTTTTTGTTCTTGTATTTTTTGGTTTGTTTTTTTTTTTTTGAAATGGTTTCACTATGTAGCCCAGGTTGGCCTTGAATTTGTGATCTTCCTGCCTCAGCCTCCCTCCCAGTCTTCGGAGTGCTGGAATTACACAAACCACGATCAGTGTGTGTGTGTGTGTGTGTGTGTGTGTGTGTGTGTGTGTGTAGGGGGTAAGTCAGAGTCTGGCAGCCCTGGCTGGCCTCTAGCTTACTATGTAGTCAAGACTGGCCTTGAATTCCTGATCCTCCTGCCTCTATCTCCCAGGTGCTGGGAAGATAGGCTTGAACTACCACACCCCAAAGCATGCAGCTTTTGATGGTGCGTTTTCTCCTGAAAAAGAAAATCATTTTGAGTTTGCAAGATGAAAACAAATCAAGCAATAATTCTTGGTTTCCTGCAGAGCCATGGATTTTGAGTGTTTCCAGACTCCAGGTCAGAGCTGCAGCTCTTGTGTCATCAACAATAGTGGTTGTGGGTCTTTACAAACCCAAGACTGGAAAGATGGGACAGGATCATCTAAAGGGAACTGAAAACAGTGAATTTCAGAATGTAGATCTGGGAGCACACCACCAGTGGCATGTCCTCGAGTGGGCATTTTGCATTTGTGTGGGCCT